GGACCGCAAGCGCCTGCAGAGAGTGGTAAAGACTGTGGAGAAGATCACCAGGACTCCACTGCCCTCTCTGCAGAGCATTTACCAAACCACAGGGCGCGTAGCAAAGCTGCCTCCATCCTCAAAGATCCCACCCACCCCCAGCATGAACTGTTCGCCTCTCTGCCCTCTGGCCGGAGGTTCAGTAGTGTAAAATTCAGGACCTCTAGACTGAAAAACTGTTTCTTTTCCTCTGCGATCAGACTCCTAAACAGCTGAGGAGTTTGTTACCAGGAAACATCGTGTACTGTCGACCTGTACTGTTTACATTCTCAGTTTGCACATTGACTGTTGACTGCTGCACATGCTGCTCCCATGCAGCATACATTCTCTTATTATATTCTTAAATATTTTTATTATATTGCTGCTTTTGCTGCTTAAAGTGCCTTTGATTTTGTGTTACTGCTTCCACTGTGTGGCATGGAGTTCTGACTAGTGATTTACACTGGGGGATACCACATGACTGCTCTGTATAATCTAACTCCATGTACTGTAAGTCCCGGTGTATTTATCAGGGAGACTGAGCAACAGTAAACATGCATGGTAAAGGGTGTAGTTGGAGCCTGGTGGCATTGTTTAGAGTGCTGCAGTCCTCACCTGAAGCTGGGCAGCAGGATCTACCTTGGTCTGTGGATCTGGAGGATCTGCTGTTAGCAGACAGCGAGGAAGAGTTTCCCTCAGGTGCATCTGGCTCGCGGACCACTGAGGTGACTTTGGTTTGTTGCCTGTCAACCCCAGATGCTCTGACTGCTATATTGGCCAGTCTGGCATCCAGAGAGGAGGTGAAGGATTGGAGTAAGGCTCACATCTACATCCTGCCTGACTCTGTCCCAACAGGGATGTCTGGCCCCAGTTCTCTGCTGTGGTAGAGTGCACAGACTAGGTTGAGGGTTTATTGAGCCCTGATGTGCTCCAGATGAATTTATTAATTTCACATACAGGAAAGTCTTTGTGAAATTAATAAATTCACCTGTGTCACTTTTGATTTCTATTTTAACAGTTTCATTGTGATTATTTGACAAAGGCAGATAAGGTCATCTGATATGAAATGGTGACGTCACTGGAGGTCATAGATTATCACTTCACACCTCAGTTTGACAGATGGGGCATTTTTATGCTCTTGGGAGTGGTCATCTCCAAATCAGAAGGTTGGTGGTTTGATTCCTGGTCTCCCCAGTCCACATGTCATAGTGTCCTTATTCAAGACACTGAATCCCTAGTTGCCCCTGGTGGTCAGGCAGCAACTGACAGCGCCATCATCAGTAAGAAATTTCCCCACTGGGATTGACAAAGTATAATACAATAAAACATTTTTTAAAAATCAGTTCCACCTGTTCTTTTCCAGATGATTGGTTTTCTGAAAAGAAATATCCTACTGTATACTTGGGCTGCAGTCAAATTCCATGTATTTTTGATAATACTTGGCAATAAAGTTATGCTTATGTTTACTAATGAAACCTAATTCAAAACCTCAGAAATATAAAAGTAATCTTTGATTTAACAAATATTTTGCAATTAAAAAACATCAGGAAATTTGTGTTCTCAATTTTTGTTTTTCTGTCTTATCTCCTTACCAATTGGTGGCGGTAACGTACAAATTTGTTGTTTGCCTAGGAAGAAAAAAAAGAGGTCGGAACCATTTGTATGAGATGCTGTTTTTCCGACCTCTGCGTGATGTTGCACCTCAGGCAGAGGAAATGGCGTCTGTCTGGTGCAGCACGGTTTTTAGTGGCCAGCCTGTGAGGTTTCTTCGAAGTTGACATGTAAACTGTGAAACTGACTCTCACCATACTGCCTCCAGCGGGCTTAGAACTATGTTTTTAAGCGAAGTGAAATCCAGTTTGTGCCGGATATTGATGACATAACAGGTAAGAGCTGCTGTCAGACATTTCCTCCTCTGTCCTAGTACAAGGAACGTTAGCTCAGTTGCTAATCCGTTATATGTAATCCCATAATCTCAGTAGTTAGTCTGAGGCTGTTTGCCCTCTCTCATGTTAAGTGTCCTCATGTAGGTGGCAAGTTTATTGGTTTGTTCAACCGCTTTAATTTGATTGCATGTGGCTGACAGCAATGCTACTGTAATGTTCATGGCACAGCACGGAGGCAGCAATTAATATCTTACTCATACTTTAAAAAGAACACTTTAAGGTAACTAACGTATGGAACATTAAAGTCCCAGACATGTCTTAAATTGTTTGCTATGTAAAAATCAATAAATACATACTAATATTTGTGTATTTCTGTCAGGAAGGCAGTATTAAACTGCAGAAAATGTGAAGCACAAGTTTAGATGTGGCAGTTTTTATATGAGGGCATCTTTGTGAATGTAATCTATTGATGCTACTATGATACCTGTGTTTGTATATACAGTGGTGTGAAAAAGTGTTTGCCCCCTTACTGATTTCTTATCTTTTTGCATGTTTGTCACACTGTAATGTTTCAGATTGTCAAACAAATTTATATATTAGTCAAAGATAACACAAGTAAACACATCATGCAGTTTTTAAATGAAGGTTTTTATTATTAAGGGAAAACAAAATCCAAAACTATATAGCCCTGTGTGAATAAGTGTTTGCCCCCTAAACCTAATAACTGGTTGGGCCACCCTTAGCAGCAACAACTGCAATCAAGCGTTTTCGATAACTTGCCATGAGTCTTTTACAGCGCTGTGGAGGAATTTTGGCCCACTCATCTTGGCAGAATGGTTGTAAGTCAGCCACATTGGAGGGATTTCGGGCATGAACTGCCTTTTTAAGGTCATGCCACAGCATCTCAATTGGATTCAGGTCATGACGTTGACTAGGCCACTCCAGTCTTCATTTTGTTTTTCTTCAGCCATTCAGAAGTGGACTTGCTGGTGTGCTTTGGATCATTGTCCTGCTGCAGAACCCAAGTTCGCTTCAGCTTGAGGTCACAAACGGATGGCCGGACATTCTCCTCCAGGATATTTTGGTACACAGCAGAATTCATGGTTCCACTTATCACAGCATGTCTTCCAGGGCCTGAAGCAGCAAAACAGCCCCAGACCATCACACTACCACCACCATATTTTACTGTTGGTATGATGTTCTTTTTCTGAAATGCGGTGTTACTTTTACGCCACACATAATGGGACACACACCTTCCAAAAAGTTCAACTTTTGTCTCGTCTGTCCACAGAGTATTATCCCAAAAGTCTTGGGGATCATCAAGATGTTTTCTGGCAAAACTGAGACGAGCCTTTATGTTCTTTTTGCTCAGCAGTGGTTTTCGTCTTGGAACTCTGCCATGCAAACCATTTTTGCCCAGTCTCTTTCTTATGGTGGAGTCATGAACACTCACCTTAACTGAGGCAAGTGAGGCCTGCAGTTCTTTTGATGTTGTTGTGGGGTCTTTTGTGACCTCTTGGATGAGTTGTCGCTGCGCTCTTGGGGTAATTTTGGTCGGCTGGCCACTCCTGGGAAGGTTCTCCACTGTTCCATGTTTTCGCCATTTGTGGATAATGGCTCTCACTGTGGTTCGCTGCAGTCCCCAAGCTTTAGAAATGGCTTTATAACCTTTTCCGGACTGATAGAGCTCCATTATTCTCTTTCTCATTTGTTTTTGAATTTCTTTGGATCTCGGCATGATGTCTAGCTTTTGAGGATCTTTTGGTCTACTTCACTTTGTCAGGCAGGTCCTATTTAAGTGATTTCTTGATTGCGAACAGGTGTGGCAAGAGAAATTGAACTCAGGTGCGATAAACCAGTGTTTTGACAGGGGGGCAAACACTTGTTCACACAGGGCTCTATAGTTTTGGATTTTGTTTTCCCTTAATAATAAAAACCTTCATTTAAAAACTGCATGATGTGTTTACTTGTGTTATCTTTGACTAATATATAAATTTGTTTGACGATCTGAAACATTACAGTGTGACAAACATGCAAAAAGATAAGAAATCAGTAAGGGGGCAAATACTTTTTCACACCACTGTAATTGGTAAAATACTTTCTTTGCTGCATCAGTGTGGGGAAATATGAGCAGGATGTAACCATTTAAAAAAAAAAAAACCTGATACCTTAAAGTGTAATATACAGTATTTAGTGTCTTGATTTAGAAAATTATTTAAATATCTACTTATCTAAAGGATAAGTAAGCAAGCAATTGATGCCAGCCTATGATACTTGGCACCTCTCTATATGCAATACTACAGGCCTATTTCCAATCATTCTGAAAGTATGGGAGTTTGCTCCTCAGTCCTGTTTTATGTTTGGGAAATTGTATATATGTATCAAGGCTGTGATGTGTTGATGTTACATTGTTTTGCAGTTTTTTATGTTTTTGTTGCAACAGGAACACCTGACTTGGACATTTGGGAACATTGCTGGTACTATACACGCCTTGCAGAGGAATGGCCAAAGAGCAGAAATCAAGCAGGCCAGAAACATTTATACTGGCCGGATCAAATGGTTACAATGGCCAACAACGGCAGACTGGTATAAATAACTTGGTCATTCAGCCTGCAGGTACTAACCACACATCGAGGATGGCCCGCATTGCCTCAGATGCTAGGCAAAAGTGCGCAGCCTATGTGCTAGCACTGAGACCGTGGAGTTTCAGTGCCTCGCTCACGCCGGTGGCCCTTGGTGGTGCCTTGGCGTACAAACTGGATGGCTCTGTGGACTTGGTCATCCTGATGGTGTGTGCGGTGGCCGTCCTTGTAGTCCATGGGGCAGGCAACCTTGTAAACACCTACTATGACTTCTCCAAAGGGATTGACCACAAGAAGAGTGATGACAGGACTCTTGTGGATGAAATCTTGGCACCGCAGGATGTTGTTATGTTTGGAGCATTGTTATATTCCTTGGGGTGCTTGTGTGCCACTTTGCTCTACTTCTTGTCTACACTTAAACTGGAGCACTTGGCCCTTATTTACTTTGGTGGACTGTCCAGCTCTTTTTTATACACTGGGGGTGAGTAAAATATAAACTTGAATCTCTTGGTTTGCTGCCTCACTGTTTCAGCCACACGCACACATTATACATATATCTAACATTTAAGCAGTGACAATGGCTCCAGGTGACAGCAAAAGGTTGGTATGTGGGTCTTATGTGTGTTGCAGGGAAAGCTCACATAGCACATTCATGTTAACCATTGTGGTCAGTGCATCACTCCCTGTACGTGGATAAATGCACATACACACTTTCCATGAGGATTTAATGTAGCAAAACTATCTTGTTTTCATGATGAGAATCTTGTAACCACGTTACAGTCTTGGGGTACAGAGTTTGAAAGACTGTGTTTATTAGGCAGGCAGGGATTAATGAAATGCTCACTTTTGTTGCATTATGGGAAGTGTAGGATCATAGTTTTTAAGCTTCATGCACATGAGGGTATAAAAGTCAGGATTTCACAGTTTCTGCAGCATTGATGTGAACAGCTGTTTAAACCTACAGTGTCTAATTTTCTCTTTGGTGTGGTAGATCTCGTGACACTCAAAACAATCTGACACCATAAGCCACTCCTACCTGCTGTTTGCCCCTCCCATCATATCCTGTTTCCAAGCATTGATGTAAACGTGTCACACAAAGCACTAATGTTACACAAAGCTTGAATTACTAAAATATATATGTTAGCATAGGACACTAATGCACCCAGAAGGAAGAATGGTGGAGGGACACCATGTCCTGTGTGATTTGCACTTGATTTATTAGACAATGTGTAAAATATTAGTTAATGCACGTCTAAACCTCCAGTGTCTTGATTTTATGAGCATGTGATATTAAATTCTCAAAATATTACTTGTAATTATTAGTTCATGCTCAATTAGAGCCTTAAAGAAATTGTTCACGTTAATCAGGGTAGTATTCACTAATAGTTGTTTGCACTACTTGTGAGACTAAGTAGAACACAAGTTTTGATTCTTACCTAACACTGTTTCACCTTCCTGATGTGCGCATATGAAACCAAAGAGATTAACAAAAATTTGGAAACAGATTCTATACCTTTGCTGTTTTGAGATTAATGGCAGTTTGTTGACAGCCCCCAAAGCCTAAATGTTCTGTTTACTTCTTTCCGCAGGTATCGGCCTCAAGTATGTGGCTCTGGGTGATGTTGTAATCCTTATCACCTTCGGCCCTCTGGCAGTCATGTTTGCTCATGCAGTGCAGGTTGGCTACCTGTCAGTGCTGCCGCTGGTCTACGCCATCCCCCTAGCCCTCAACACAGAAGCCATCCTTCACAGCAATAACACCAGAGACATGGACTCTGACAAACAGGCAGGCATCGTCACCCTGGCCATCCTCATAGGCCCCACGCTCTCTTATGTCCTCTACAACCTCCTGCTCTTCGTCCCCTATGTGCTCTTCTGCATCCTCGCCACCCGTTACACCATCAGCATGGCACTCCCTCTGCTCACGCTGCCCATGGCTTTTCCCTTGGAGAAACAGTTCCGCAGCCGATGCTACACCAAGATCCCCCAGAAGACGGCCAAGCTCAACCTCCTCATGGGACTTTTCTACGTGTTCGGGATCATTCTGGCACCTCCTGGCAGCCTGCCATTACTGTGATTCATTAGCTTTGCTGTTTTAATACAGACTAGTTTAAGTACCTATTTTATTTGTACAGAGCTATCTGAGGGCTTACACTGGCTTTAATTTATTGTCCAGTTTATATGTTGACCAGAGATTTAGTTTAGGTCCTTCTCTGTGTCACTGAAGGAATAATGGGGTGTTTTTTTTTTCCAGTATTAAGCCTGCTGTAATGTGTTGGTAAAAGTAAGAAGTGTTGGTGTCAATTTGTAAAGGTGGGCAAAGTTCTCATAATATAAAGACAATAAACCCACAGTTGCCATGTTTTTAGTTCTTCAAGACACAACATTGTAACACTAATACCTAAAAACATCCATGAACATTTACTGTCTATATTGTACTCTCTGTTAAGTACATGCTTTTAATTTGTTCATTGTGATTTTCTTTCTGGTGAGCCAAATAGTATTTGAATTGTAATAAAACTCAGTGATGCTGATGTGCCATGTCTTCATTTTGGATTAGTGAAGTTCACTTTTATTTAAGCTTTTACTTTCAAAGACAAGATGCAGGGGAGAACATCAGACCATGATTTAATAACAAATTGACAGAGATTTGAGATCAAAATATGTAGCTTGAAAAGATTAAGTTGTCCCTTTATTTCTATTTAAAATGGAAATATGAATTGCAAAGTGGACCCTTTATTTTACCAAAAGTTAAGGTCCTTGTTTTCAGGCATCAAGCAGCAACCTGCAGATGTAGACTCATCTCTACAGAGCAGCATATATTCTGTTACATAGTTATTTTGTGTTAGAGAACA